TCGCTCGCGACGCCTGGCGCGTAGCCTGCTGGTTTTCGCCACCTTAGTGGCCCCCTTTTTCCCGCGCCCCGCCGGCGACAGTTGCGCTGTAACCTCCGGCTGCTGCTGGTAGCACGACCTTTCTGACGCCGCGCGGGTGCCCGCTCGCGGTCGCGATCAAAAAAAACCACCAGTCGCTCTCCACTGCACGTAAGGGGCACCATCACGTTCGCGCCTCTCGACCTCCCCCTGGCGATCTGGAGTCCTCCGTTGAGCGCCTGCACGGTTTGCCCTCCTCGACTACGTGACTGTGGTCATCGTCCCCCTCGAGTACGCGGATGTGGTCTTGTGGAACCAGGGCTCGAATCACCTCGCCATTTCGGCGTTGCACGCGGACCGGATGCACCTCCTGGTCTTCTTTGGTGGCTTTGGCGTTCTTCGTGGGCCTGGTTCTCAGCGTCCTCTTCGCCGGCTGAGTCGCAGCGTAGTTCGCTCCTGCGCGCTCGGTGCCTAATTTAGATCGTAGCGCTGTTGCTTCGCTCTTCACGGCGCGCGCGATTGTGCCGTGTGGCTCGCGGATCAAAAAAAGTAACCCCACCAGTCTATCCAGAAACGATGGCCAAAGGAATTGCCTCGATCAGGGAAGTGGGCAGCACACAGAGGAAGGGTCCCCCAGTGGAGGCCTCTTGAAGCGTCTTGGGGGCCTTATGGCGGTCCCGGACGCCTCTTAGAGCGTCGTGGGTGCCTCGCAGAGCTTCTTGGGGCCTCTTGGGGGTCTCTTGGGAGCCTCTTGGAGGCCTCTTGGGCGCCTGTCGGGGCCTCCTGGGGCCTTCTAGGCGCCTCTTGGGGCCCTCTTGAAGCGCTCTTGGGAGCCTTGGGAGCGCTCTTGGAGCCCTCTTGGCCCATCTTGGAGCCATCTTGAGGCCATCGGATGGCCATCGGAAGCGAAAGGTTTTGAAGGATTCTGGCATCTTCGGGGCCTTCTGGTAGAGCTCTTTGGCCACTTGGAGCCGTCTTGGAGCGGTCTTGGGGCCTCTTGGAGCATCGTGGGAGCCATCTTGAGGCATCTTGGGGTGTCTTGAGCCATCTGGGAGGTCATCTTGGGCTCTCCCAGGCGCTCTTGGAGTCATCTTAATCAGTGCCCCCCCTGGGAGGCCAAAATGTGGCCAAAACCTCAGTTAAATCAATGATTTTGGCATTCTCGCCGAGGCCTCTTGGAGCATCTTGGGTGCTTCTGGGGGGCCTCTTGGGGCCTCTTGGGGGTCTCTTGGGAGCCTCTTGGGGGCATCCTGGGGGCCTCTTGGGGGCCTCTTGGGGCCTCCTGGCCACCTCTTGGGCCATCTTGGGGCACCCTTGGGAGCCTTGGGAGCGCTCGTGGGGCCATCTCGGAGGAGATCGATCAAAGAAGGGGGGGGGTCCTGAATTAGCCTGGCCCCCCAAGAGGCCAAAATGAGGCTAAAACCATAGTAAAACCAATGATGTTGGCTTCCTCGCCGGGGAGGGGAAACCCCCTCCCCGAAAGGGAAGAAAGGGGGTTGGAAGAGGAGCCGCCCTAAACCACCTGCGCCCAGAGGGCTGGTGGGATTCACGACGGCCTCCACCCCAGAATCACGACGGACCGTTTTTGCTACAATCCCCTCCTGAGGCACAGATTGGGGTACAATGTGAGAGACACGATGGCCTCCACCGGGGAACCACGACGGACCGTTCTTGCTACAATCTCATCCTGAGGCACTGATGAGAGGCTCTGAGGAGGAGCCCAGGAGGGCTCCAAACAGGGCATCCAGCAGCACTGCGTCGCAACAACACGGCGTCGCAACGGCGCGGCATCGCCGCGGCACGGCGTCGTAACGGCACGGAACCTCTGGGCACCCCCCTCTTCCTCCTCCTCCTCCTCCTCCTCCTCCTCCTCCTCCTCCTCCTCCTCCTCCTCCTCCTCCTCCTCCTCCTCCTCCTCCTCTCACATCTCCCCTCTTGATGCAATGTCCCCCCATCTCTCTCTCTCTCTCTCTCTCTCTCTCTCTCTCTCTCTCTCTCTCTCTTTTAACGCTGCCAAAGTCGCGGCCCAGGGGGGGCGCCCGGGAACGCCCGGCAAATGGATCCACAAACGCGCAACCGGCAATCCACAAACTGCGCCAGGCCATTTTCATACCCCCGGAGCTGCCCGCGCGAGCGTGATCCAATAACTGCGCTTGCACTTGCACGCGCGTGGCCCCCAAGACTTGATCCTTAAACAGATCCTTAAACTGAAGGTCTTGATTCTAAACAGAAACTTTGTGGATTCGGCGGGGGGGGTTGGCGATTACGATGCTGCTGGTGCTTTTTGACTTAATTACTCGCAGGCGTGGGGGCCCTTCGGTTTCTTGGGCCTACTGCACCGCAATTGCAAAACGCATTTGGCGAATTCGCCAGCGCCTAAGAGGGCCCATAGACGGCCCAAGACGACCCCAGGACGCCCCCACGACGGCCTCAAGCAGCTCCCCAAACACCCATGATGGCCCGAAAACGGCCCCAGAGCGCCCTTGCACGGTCCAAGTGAGCCCCAAGACGGTCTAGGATAGCTTTAGGGGAGCCCGCAAGGCTTGCCCACTGGAGCCCAAGACAGCTCCAAGACTGCCCAAATTAGCCTTTCGAAGACACCTCCGAAAATGAAGACGGGAGGTGTCACATGTAACGACCTTCCCAGTGGTGCTCGCAGGGTCGTCATACTGAGTGTTTCGCTGGCACGGCGGCACATTCGCCGCAGGCAGCTGGATACGAGGCGGAGGCTGCGATGGGCGGAAGATTTGGGACGAGTGCTTTGGGGGATGAGAGACAAATGCCGCGGGCACCCATTGCTGCTCGGCGCGCCCATCGGCCCTATCGCCGTCGACCAAGCGTTTCTTCGAGGAAATCGGCCAAGTGGACTCGACGAGCGATCGACGCGAACAGCGGCACAGCGAAGCTCCCACCAGAAAGACAAGAAGCACATGCAAAAACGGCTATGCGATTCTGCAAAGCTCCGCTCCCGCGCGCTCTTTTCTGTGGCCCCTGTTCCTGCTCATCCTCTTCCACTAACCCGTCCTCTATTCTTTTCGGCCCATCTTCTTCCACACCCTGCGGATTACAATCCTGGTGTTGCTGCTGCTCCTCCCGCTGATGTCTCATGATCACCACGGTTGTCTTCCTTCTCTCTCCCAGACCACCAACGCGCTCCCTCCTCATCATAATCCATCCCTTCCCCTCGTCCGCCTCGTCCTCTTCCTCCTCCGCCCACCCGTCACCTTACTCGCCATCCTGCTCCCCCCTCCCTCCCATACGGGGGGGCCATCCTCCTCATTTGTCCTCCTGTCGCGCTGAGAAGTCGAGGCTGCGCCTGCGATCCAATATCGAACGCAATCTTGCTCGCGCGTCCAAGGCAAGCCGGGTGCGCCACCGAGGCGGCCCAAAAACAACCCTGAAATGATTAAACAATTCCAGCAATCCACTGACCCCTCTGGGGGCGCCCGGCTGCAAGCTGCCTCTGCAGATCCGTGTGATAAGTGTGCGCATGAAAATACATGCCTTGTCCTGTTCACGGTATGTGTTTCACGCATTTCCAGCCGCGCCATTTTTGAGTTGCTTTCGGGGGCCCGCGTTGCAATGAAAAGCACGTGGGTCGGCACTCTCAAAACGCCTAGCCGACTCCCCCTACCGAGGCCAGTGGGCGGCCAACAAGACCCAAGAGGCCCCCAAGAGAGCCTCAGAAGGCCATAAGCTACTGCCCCTGGGTCCCAGGCGGCCGAAGACGGCTCAAAAGCGCCCCAAAAAACGAACCGAGAGGGCCCAGGGGAGCAGCCAAGCGAGACAAAATGGCCCACGAATGCAAACAAGCAGTGCGTCGCAAGAAATGCGATAATGAATTTTGTCCGCCGTCACTTTGCCCCCAGGAATTCCCGATGAGGCGTCAAAGCGGCCCGTAGAGGCCCCAGAAGAATCCAAAGATGTTCCCGATATTGCCCTCATAAAGCCCCGAGGCGGCCCTTCGGAGGGCAAATATGCCCCCTGGGCCGCGGGCAAATGAGTCGGCCCTTGGCCCTGCAGCGCCGAGGCTTCAACGACGGTGGCCGCACGCGCGCAACTGCGAATGTCGCGCATTTTCCTCGTCGCGCCCGCTAGCACCTGACAGTACCCCCATGCCCGCTGGCGAACCAGCGATCAAAAAGAAAGAGCAGGCAATGCACTTCTGGAACGCGCGAAATATATGCCGATGCGCCAACTCGAAGCACATGCGTGATGTTTTCAGGGGCGCGTTTGTGGCGTCTGTTATGGTTCAGGGAGCGGGTAGACGTGAGTCTTTGGCCACGTGAGGTCCTCCAAAGCTCCAGAGGCGAAGGCATCCGAGGACACCCACCCAGAAACCGCTTGCAACGTCTGAGGACCTTCCGAGACCTCCCTCCTCTTCCTCCTCCTTCTCGCGAGCCGAGGAAGCGCAACGCCGTCCCCACCGATGCTGTGCACCAAAAGGAGAACCGCCGCCGTGCCGCGAGCACGAAGAGTGACACAATACCCAAGGCAGATGCACCTGCGAGTGGGAAAGGGACTGTAAGGGATCTCGCACGCCCGAGCACCCGATTTGCCAACATTCCTGAACGCTCTCGGGCTCTCTCGTGCTAGTGGCGCCGGACCTCCTTAAGACGGAAAACAAATTCAAGACCTGGCGCTCGAAAATTGTTGGCACCAGGCGGTGCGCAGGGCTGGGTGCCGGGGACCTTGCTCACCCAAGACGACCTCACAAGCCTCAAAGGTTAGCAATAGACCCCCTGTGACGGGATAGGCCAAATGTCGCTAGATGTCCACATCCACATATTCTGTACACCTCCCATCCCGGGAGAGCAGTGGATACGGACACCTCCCCGCCCTCGGGGAGCTGGTATACCATGCCAACCGGTCCCCTTGGCCATTCAGGGCCCGACTCAGAAGCGGTGGACGTTGACAGGTTCCCGCGGTGGGTCCTGTGACGCTGCCGCACGCCGCGCCAACCCTGTCGCGGCCGCGGCCGCCTCAAGAAGACCACGGAGTAGTCGAAGCGGAACATGCTGTCGTCGTCCTGACGCAGAGTGGGACAGGCGACCTCGAAACGTGCGAGCGGCGGATGTAAGCTGGTAGCACGCAAGAGCAAGCTGCGCGGTGCCTTACGCGGGCCGACAACGCGGCAAGCCGCGTGGACAAGAGATCGCGCACGCGCGACCCTGCGCGGGCGGCCTACGCGCGAGCGCCCGCGCGGCCCACCCCTTTCTGTTGGCGTCGCTCCTGTGGAGGCTGCGCAGGGCAATCGGCCACAAAGAGCATCCAGGCCGCACGGTAAACAAGCCACAAACGGAGTGCAGAGCGCTGGAGCATGATCAAGGGGCACGTTTGGTCGTGCGCTCAGAACCACGGGCGTTCCGTCTTGCGCCTCGCACACAATACTATCGAAACGAACAGCTGCACGATGAATGATAGAAGGGCTCAAGAACCAGAACCACCCAGTGTGGCCAACGAAGTGTCTGGGTGCAATATGGCCCTCGATCGTTCTAGATTAATCCTGGCTTACTCGCTCGATCGCGGTTGCTCGTCTCTGACGAGGTGACTATCAGAAATTCGCATCGGTTGCGTCACGCGCTTGCAAGATACATCGATGATCTGCGCGGGCGCTGCCAGGGATCACAAAGAACTGGTAACGTGCCATACCACACGTAGCTCATACTTTCATTTGAACCCATACGATGTGGAAGCGGACCCCCCCCCAAAAAAACAAAGAAGAAAAAAAAAAGTGATATAGCCAGGCCAACTTTTGTAAGTGTTCCCACATAACTACTCTCAGCGTAACGAATTCTGAACGCGCTGTTTCTCACGAGGCGTTGTGTCCCTACGAAACGGATCCCAAATACACTCATCATCGATACCGAGTTTCGGCGCACTGTAAAATTACCAATACGCTCGGTTCATGAACCGAGTGAAACTGTTGTTCCGCCACATTTGCTTCTTACAACGAAACATTGGCTGCAGGCCCCAATGCCAGACATGCGCGGCCGGCAACGCATGGCTGCGGCATCGTAGCGCAGCTTCCCAGGCGAACCCCCAGATGGGTCTCCTGGGCCTGCTGTGCAAAACCATCTGCATGCATTTCGAAGCTGCGTTGCCACGGTGGCGGTGTTTGCCGCAAGAAGCCAGATAAAGCTCGAGGATATGGTGGCGCTAAAAAGGAATACCAAACGAGATCATCCAGCGTAAAGCGGTCCATAGCCCACTCACCCTCCCCCCCATCGATCCTGCAGGATGTGTGTCAGTTTGAAGCGGGCCGGTAGGCCCGACCAGAAGCTACGGCTTAGGCGAAGCACAGCTCCTGCTCTGTTATATCGTAGGAAATCGTCGCGGGAGCGACGGGTCATCTCAAGCGAAGGATGTTTTCGGTCTCGATGGTAAATCGTACACCTCGCCCTGAGGTATAGTCAGATATAGGCGGCCGGCCGCTTGAGCACAAACGGCCGCGGACACACGCTCGCTTTAGAGTGTGTCTGGAGGGCCTTCTGCAGTATCTGTGCACTGGTCTCCCGAATGCATTTCTGACGCATGACACGCGTACTCCGCATTCGGCAAGAAGCGTGTGCCCCTCGACGGGGGTCAACGTCAACCTGTCCGCGCCTGTGGGATGGGGTCTGATTTTTGTGGCGGGTGGCGTGGGCCGGCTGGGGCCGACGTCGCGCGGCAGTGTTTGCCCGCGACGGGGGTCGATTTGGGGCAACCGCGTTGGTGGGGCCCCCCCACGCTCATTACATGGCGCAGAATACAGTCAGGCTGGCGGCTTTGCAAGGCTACACCCACTGGCCCTCTGGGCCGCTAAGGTTGTCACCCTCCCCCTGCCCCTTCCCCTGGGTCTGGACGGGGGCGGGGCGCGACGCGTTAGAGCGTCCAGGATGGCTCAAAGAGGGCCTCCGATAGTCGCATATGGCTTTCAAGATGGCACATGAAAAAAAGGCCTCCAGCATGCTTCCAAGAGGCCCCAAGATTTCCTCAAAAAGAAAACCTGCATAAAGATAAAATGCCAGAGGTCTGCGCGGACTCCTTGGATCGGTGCTGTCCCTAGCGCGCGTAGCGCGCTGGATGCGCCGCCGGAGGAGCCGCTGGGGGAGACGGCGCTGATCCAACAAATCCGCGCGGAGATCCCAGACATTATGCTTATGCAATTGTTTGTTCCTCGACTTTAGCCGTCTCCCCTCCTCTCGGCGGTGAGCCCAGAGGGGACGCGAGAAGGGGGGGGCCTTCTAAGAAGGCTCGGAAGTCCCCTGGCTTTCGGAAAAGTGTTCTAAGCCTTCCCCGAAGACACACAAACTTTTCAGAGGACCAGAGGGCTGCTGAGAAGCCCCGCCGCCTTCTGGGAAGGCCTCCTTCTCACTTCCCCCCCTTGTTCGACGCCGATCCCCGCTCCTGAACATCGCCCACGGGCGTGGCCTGGGCCCCACTGGCCGATTTACCCGCCCCCCCCCCCTGGACGGGGACGTAGGCTGTTCCCTTCGAGTTTCGGGGGGGATATCCCCAACTGGGGGGGTGGGATGGTTGGGATCGGGATCGGGATGGAGATAGGGGATGGGGATCGGTTGAGCGATGCTGAGCTTCCCCTCTCCTGCGCCCCGCCATACGCCTCTCCGCCGACCTGCGCCCGCCCCCTCATCCCGCCGACCCCTTCGGATTCAGGCGTGGGAGCCCGTCTCCCTACCCAAATCCCGCCACAGTTTGGAGGGGGGGATCACACTCAACGATACTGGCTTCGGGTCCCCATCTGCTGCTGGCAGACTCCTCCCTCCAGCATTGCCCGTGGCCTCCAGACGCACCAACATGGCACCAGGAGGATCCAAGACACCCGCCGATGGCTCCAAGACAGCCCGAGAGGGCCCCAGGACGGCCTACGACGCTCCCAAGACTCCCCAAGTTGACGCGAGGCCAAATGCATTTGCTCCTTCGCAACACTCCATACGTGCTTAACATACTTGTTCTTTGAATTTCCACAGCATTTACGACAGCCCAAAGCCTCAGAGATCGCTCCACAAAAGAGCCCAAGAGGCCCCAGCGAGGGCCGCACGATAGCCCAAGAGGCCCCCAAGGGCCCCAGGAGAAGCCTAAGACGGCGAACTCGGAAGGGTCTCCAGGAGCCCCCCCCCCACAAGATCCCTCCCCAGACCCCCAACATGCCCCTAAGGGGGCCCAAAAATATCCCCCAGAGGCTCCAAGAGGGCCCCAAAACGACCCAACAACGCCTCTTTTGATCAGTCCTCTGGCTTCTCAGATGCACGCACGGCGCCTGAACTCTTCTACGCCAACGCCTACCCGAAGAGAGGCATCAAAGGCTCGTAGTGTGTCGGCGGTGCGGCGTACGCCAATGAATCATACTCATCGAGGGTACCGATGGTACCAGATCTTGCCAGGTGGTGATCCCGTCTGCTTTGCGGCGCCCTCATCCTTACAGTATGCAAGCCAGTCTGAGCAGGGAGGACGCATCGTCTTGCCATCACCCTCGATAACCTGCACGAGATCATGGTAAGCCGATCCGACCTCTACCCCAAGTACCGACGGTGGCAGGCCCCAGATGACAGAACTGTTATACGTTGTTGTTTCGAGTCCGCAAGAAGCTCCATGCTAAATTCAAGTAGCTGAGTCCATGTGAGCCTGACACCGAGATTGTGCGCATAGGGAATGATCTGCGCCTCAACGTCGTCATCAATGTTGGCTGGAGCCCTGCCATTGGAATCCTTGAAAGCAAACTCGTACACGAGGTCGGTTGCCCTGAAAAGGACCCAACTGTTCCCCTTGTCTGCAAAAGACTACACCTTGTCGCCTCCGACACGAATCATGATGTGGTTGCCATCATAATGAGAGACCATCCGTTGCGCGAAACCTCAAGACTCATCCAAGAGCTTGAGTCGCCCAGCTTCGTCAGCCAGAATGGCAGGTTCATTGCGGCTATGCCAAGCGTGAGCGATCCAGACGCCCTCACACTTGACAGCAGATTCCTCGAGCTTCCCCTGGGGGCACAAGGATCCCAGGCCCTGCGTGCACATCGTGGGTTCATCGCAGCGCCTACCAACCCAGCCCGAGTAGCACGTGCACGTAAAATGCCACCACGACGAGCGGCGGCCATGCACGCGAGTGAAACAAACCAAGCCCTCCTGCACCAGAGCGCCGTCCGCCATGACGGCCGTGGAGGTGTGCTTCGTGCACGCCGCGATCTTGCCGAGAAGGCGGTCGGTGTCCGTCCTGTTGGCGATGCCCTGCAAGTCCCCACTGCGCCTGACGATGGGCGTTCCGTGCTCGGACTCGTGCTCGTTGAGAATACATGCATACGTCCGAGCGGTGCCAAGGCATGTGCTAAGCTTCCAGCAGCGATGCACGAAAAGGACCGCAATGCGATTCCAGGGCATTACTGTAAGAGGCAGCTGTTCCAGAGCGCTCCGCAACGCTCAGATCTGGCGAACCCCTTCGCGACAACGCCCAGCCTACGATCCCCTGAGGGAAATTGTACGACGCCCAACAGCACATGTTGTCCAAAACCGACGGCGGCCGCTGTTGGGCAGCCGCCCTTCTGTCTCAACAGGACAGCGTCCGCGACGACGCCGACAGCGAGTCCTGTTCAAAATAGGCAGGCACTGCTGTTATCGGCGGCGAGCCCAGGGCGGGCCTTCTCAGAAGGCTCGGAAGGCCTCTGGCCTTCTGAAAAGTCTTCTACGCCTTCCCCGAAGACAGAGACGGCTTCTCAAAAGGCCAGAGGGGTTTCTGAGAAGGCCTGCCCCCCTGTGCGCACCGCCGATGTCAGTCGTCGTGCCCGTTCTTTCCGTACCCGTTTCGATCCCCTGAAGGTCGCCTTGGAGCCGAGCCAGCCGGCCGCCTGACGACACCGCTGGAGAGGCACGAGGCGGCGATGCAACGCGGCTCAGGTGGCGCCCGCCGGCACCGCCCACCCCAGCGCGGGCTCGCGTCGGCGGCAGCCGGCAGGCGGCGACGGACCGATGCCCCGGGGACATCGGACAGCCGCTAGCCGCGGTGTCCAGGGGCACCGATGCGCTGGGAAAACGGATCGGTGCCCTGGGATATCGATGCCCTGGGGCACCGGACGGTACCGCCCACCACGACGCGGGCTCGCCGCAGCGGCAGACGGCGGACGGCGACGGATCGATGCCCACGGGGCATCGGACGATCACCAGGAACGTAGGCAAATGGATTTCGCCACATGATGCGCAGTTCCCTCCCTCCTCCTCCTCCTCCTCCTCCTCCTCCTCCTCCTCCTCCTCCTCCTCCTCCTCCTCCTCCTCCTCCTCCTCCTCCTCCTCCTCCTCCTCCTCCTCCTCCTCATATCATCGTCCTCCTCGTCCTCGTCCTTCTCCTGCTCCTCCTGCTCCTCCTCCTCTTCCTCCTCTTCCTCCTCCTCCTGAGGGATCGAAGTTGCGACCAGGGGAGGTCGTGGCCGTCGTCGTCGCATGGCAGCGGCAGAGGAGGCACAGAGCGGTGATGCCACAAACCTGGGCGCGGCCTAAACGACCCCTTCTGGGACGAGCCCCCTCCGTGACGGCGCCAATACGCCGTGCGGGGTGTTCGCACACTGCGCGGGGTGGCCGTTACCCCAAGAGGTACAATCGCTTACGGATGGATCAACGGATAGCTCGAGGTCCCTCCACGGCCGGCTGCCCACATTTTAGAGCGGGGTCGACACGGAAGGGTTCGGTCTGCCCCTGGGCAAGTGCGTTCCCTGCCAGTTCTCTCCTCTCTCTGGGGGCCTCCTGAATGGGGCCACAGTAACTGGTGCTCTAAGTCGCACCGCATCGACAGCGCATCTGCGATATATGTTGGAACGGGAAAAGTACCAACAGCCCTCTGGGTGCAGGTGGTTCAGGGAGTTGGCGCTTCCAACCACCTTCGTCCTCTTCGGGAAGGAGTTCCCCCCGTCTGGTCGGGCCCCCGCGAAGTGTAAGAGGGCCCGCTTGGGACCAAGATGGCTCCAAGATGGCCCCAGATAGCCCAAGATGATGTGTCCAAGAGACTCCAAGACTGCAGAAGACGATTCGAGGCGGCCACGGAACCTCCCACGGATGCCTCCGAGAGTCCAACAATCATTGGAAAAAATCGAAGGGCGCTTTCAATGATTAGCGATGTTTCTCCTTTTTGCTTCCGACGGGCATGTGAGGTCGGAGGATGGCTCCAAGAACGCCCAAAATAGCTCCAAGAAGGGCCCAAAAGGTCTCCAAGACAGCACCGGAGGCCCTCAAGAGCGCCGTGGGGCAAATGCTCGAGCTCCAGGAGGGGCAACGCTAACTCAAGCCCTTACTTTTTGTCAGCAGACTTCAGAATGGCCGCAAGCAGGCCCGAAACGCCCCCACACGACATGCGAAGCAGCAAAATGCCTGCGTCTTGGTTGCTATATGCGAAAAGGAGACTGGCGCACCGCTGCGCGACGCGCCGATGACAGCACCGGCAAGCCTGGGACCTAGGCGCGAGGCGGCCGCAGGAGGCCGACACCCACGCAAGCAACTGCTGCAGGTCGGAAAAAAACGATGTGCCCGCAGACCGCGGCCGCGGCCGCGGCCCTGCGACGTCAATTGCGCCGTCTTCGATGCACGGCCCACTCGCGAGGCGGAGGCGAGCGGAGGAGAGAAGCAGGAGCCCAGCCCACTCGAAAGACAGGGCCCAGCAGGCGGAACCACCCACACCACCAAGACCACCACAACCACCTCCACCACCACCCACGGACACAAGGGTCAAAAGAGGCAAGGCGCGGGAGTCGTCGCCGCGCCGCCGAAGCCTCGTCTACTGAACACGCTCTGTGTCCGCCTCGTCGCGAAACTGCCGCCGTGCCGCCCAGGCCGAAGCCGCGCCTGCCTTGTAGGAGTCGTTCCGCCGGGAGCCGAACGCCAACGGCGTCGCACCGTCACCAACAAGCCTGAGGCCTGAGGGCCGCCCAGAAGAGCGCAAAGGGGGAAGGCGTCGTCGCCGTCGTGGTCGTCAGCGCCATCAAGGTCGTCGTCGGAACGGAGCCAGTGACCGCCGCCATTGTCCCGAACCCTGCTGGGGCCACCGCCTCGGTCGCCACCCTGACCGCCGCCGCCGCCGGGGCCGCCGCCAAGGCCGCCGTTGGGGTCGTTGCTGGGGACGCCGCCGGGGTCGCCGCCATTGCCGCCGCCGGGGCCTCTGGAAACGCCCCGCGCCGCCACCACCGCCGCTGCCGCGAGGCCAGAGCGCTCGAGGCCAAGACGACGACGGCCTCAACCCCCTCATCGTCGCACCGGCGCCGCCGGCCTCGGGGGTGACGCAGACAGCACCAGGCAACGACCCGCAAGGCCTGCTGGCCAGCTTCGCTGGAAGCGGCCCCCACGGGCAGGGTACCCTATGAGAGCGGCCAGGGCGGGGCGGTTCACGGCGCGGCCCGAGCGAGTCCGCGGCCGCCCACCGCCACCATGAGCCCAGGAAGGGGGACAGGCGGAGCCGCCCGCAGCCTGTAAGGACTGCAGAGGAGACCCCGAAGACGGGGCGCTCGGCCAGCCCTTCAGCCCACCGCCTGCGTTGGCGGCGCGCGGCGAAGTCCGAAACCTGGCCCCAGACGCCTCCCCGGGGGAGGAGCAGGCGGGCGGTCGAGGGCCGAGGCGGCCCCCCGAATGCCCAGGTGCTCCGCGGCTTCGGCGCCTTTCCAGAGCTGCCCCACGCCCGAGTTCTCGGGCCCATGGCAGCTGCGTCGTCGAGAGCGGCGCCCCGCGCCTCCCTGTCAGCAGCCTTAGCGACCAGTTGTCCACGTGCGACCAAGCGATGGCCAGGGTGCCGGGGCGCAGCTCAGGGCGCGACCAGCGCGCGGGCACTCGCAGCAGCACACGAACTGGGCGAGGGGGCCACTAAGGCAGCCCCCGACCGAGCAGAGCCGCGGCACGCGCCAAGTCTGCGCCAGGAAGCGCCACGGCAGGCGGCGCACCTTTGCGGAGAAGGGCGTCGGTCGCAACCCTGCGGGCGACAGCCGCAAGCTATCTCCGTGTCCTCCTCGGCCCCAGCCTCGCCCGGCGAGGCGGCCCAGTCCGCGCAGGACCGCGCTTCCCCGTTCTCACCCTGGGCGCCAGGAGCGCAAGGGGGAGGGAACGCAACAAGCAACTGCGCCACGCCAGGGGCCACACGGGGGCGACCACGACAACCCCAACATCGTCGGACCCTCCATCGGGAGTCCGGGGATTCGAAGACCGCGCCAGGCGGCAGGCCACTTTCCGCGGCCTTCATAAGTCCGCCGAACATTAAACGAAATTCCCTTCGGCGAGGCACGGCAGGTGCGTCGCAGCAGCCCCCAACTCGCGAGCACCCCGCCCGTCGAGGCCGGCGGCGCCAACGACCTGAGACAAGGCTTCTCTCCAGCCCCCGGAGCGGTGCGGCAACGATGCTTGGCCCAGCTGTGCCGACAGGTGGTCCTCGAAACCAGGCGCGCAAGCCACTGGGTGAATATCCACCCCCGCCCCGGTCCTGAGACACTGGACCGCAGCGCGCCGCGACGGCCCTGTTCTGCCGGGCCTGCTCCCGCCTTGCGTAGGCAACGCTGCGGAAACTTTGTCCGGGCCACTCGCCGCCGAGGACGCGCTGGAGGCTAAGGTGTGTTCGGCTCGTCGGAGCGAGTAGTCCCGCCGTCGGGGTGCTGTGCTCGATCCTCGGCGGCCGCGGCGGGCAGGCTGCCGCTCCTGGTCGTCGCCGCGGACGACGGGGCATCGTGGCGGCGCTCTCCAGATCTCCAGACGGCCTGGCTCGGCCGGGCGGTGGGCCCGACCGAGTGCCGCCGAGTTTTGGCCCTCCGTGTGTTTCCTGTGGCAGACCCCCCCGGGCTGTCCGAACGGTCGGCCAGGGGGTGGACGCGGAAACCTTCGTTTAGCGCGCTCAGACCGCTGGGAGACTCCGGCGAGGCCCCCAAAGAGCGGCCCCAGAGCGGGCGCGCCACAAGCCGAACGCCCAGTACGCCCAGTCCTCGCCGCCGTCGTCGGCGGCCGCCCAGAACGCCCAGTACGCCCCGTCCTCGCCGCCCAGAACGCCCAGTCTTCGGCGGCCGCCTCGAGCAGCTGGCGTCTCCAGCCAGCCGGGGACCGAGGCCAGCGGCAAACAGCAGCAATTCGGCAACGTCGGTCCTCCTGAATCCCAAGGCCGAACGCCATGCCGCAATTGTGCGGCACCCGTGGGATGGGAGCTTGCATCATCGAGCCGGAGGAGACAACCGAAACCAAGGCACTGGGTCGGGGTCGCCATGCCTTTGGTAGAGTTGGGGCAAGGCCGACGGGCAAGCCACGGAGCGGACAAGAAACTCGCACGATTTTCGCCAATTCAAACCACCGACGACCACGCTCGAATCAAATCCAGCTGCGGCGGATAATGAGTCGAGGGCTTCGGCAAACCGCGGGACGTCCGCCCCGACTGCAGGCCGCAGGCCGACGTGATGACAACCCGACCGAACCGCCAGGAGCAGCGGCGCCAGTCCCCACGGGCGCTAACGTAGGTCCTTCGGCCCACCTCGGACCTCCAGAACAAGGCGCACCCGCCCTTCCGAGGAGGTGGTCCACCCTGGGCGAGGACAAGGACGACAAGAGAGGGCTGCGGGCGAGGGGCCGACCACTGAACCCGCCAGCCTCGCGCTGCGAGGACAGCGGGGGCGAGGACGGCGGGGACCCACCCACACCCGCCAGCACGGTAGCGCGTCTCCTGCAAGGCCACGACAACGGCCTGCGCTTCCGTGGCCCCCTGGAGCACTGCATCGGGCTGGGCGCGGGTGAAGAGAGTGACGCAGCGGACGCCGCCAGGGGCGGCGGCGGCGTCCGGGGCGGCGTCAGCTCCTCCGTGGAGGAAAGGAAAGGAGGGCGGGTAACGGAAGACGAGACAGAGGGAGAGAGAAAAAGAGAGAGAGAGAGAGACGAAAAGGAAGGAAGACGGTGGCAGAGGCCCCCACGAGTCAAGACCCCGCAGCCGCCAGCCACTTACGCACTCTGGAGACGAGAAGCGAAGCGCGGCTCTCGTGAGGCTCGGTTCGGCAACGGGACCACTTCCCAGAGTCCGCCCGCGTTAGCCCTGTAACGAGGCCACCGTAAGGCGTTGAGCCGATCGCCGCGGGTGGCCCACTGGTCCGATGCGACCCCCTGGAGGCGTTCCCGTTTGGCGGCGTAGTGCTCAGGAGCACGAACTTTGAGGGCCTACGGGCGTTTCCTCCATTCATCGGCGTTGCACCGCGCCACCTGGTCCTTCGGCCGCGGGGGGCGCGGGGCAAGCCCGACGTCCATCAGCCACGCGGCCGCCGTACTCCATATCGCAGGCCCCAAACTCCAGATCGCAAGCCGCAGCTCGAACCTCAGCGGGAAGGGCTGCGCGCCGCGCTGGGGTCCTAGAAAAAGAACTGGCTCAGGAAGACTCGTGGTCCCCAAGTCCAAAGACCACCCCGACCATCTCCCGAGCCTCCCAATGAGGAGACATCCGCGGGCGCTCGGAGAGCAGTTGGCAGCGCTCGTCCTGGAGGACAAGACTGGCCATCTCGATGGACAGGAGGCCTGCCAACATCGCCTGGCCAGCGCAGTCATGGAGGCGATCACTCACGTCGCTCATGACCTCCATGGCGCCAATGGCCTCCGCGACGCCAAGCACTCGCCAGGAGCCGCCACAAGTCGGGGCCTGGGCCGAGTCGACCGCCGCCAGGCCCTGCCGCCACCGCTGCTGGCAGCGCAGCAAGCCGGCACGCCACCATTGCAGGGCGCTGGCCCAGTGAGGAATCGGAGAAATAAAGACGGCGGGATGCTCCTTGGCACGAGCCTTGAGCCTACGCCTTGAGCCAAAACGGCTTGAGCCAGCATGGCTGGCGCCCGAAACGCCCCAAAGAGGGCCCCAGAACAACCCTAAGAGAGCCTCAACGGCTCCCAAAACGATCCGAAGAAATCTCCAAGAAGGTTCAATGAGGCCTCCAAGGGGCTCCCGGAGTCACTAAGTTCACCATTGTTGGGGCGCCTCTGTCTCACTATATATTTATTGATTCAGTTATGTTGACAACTCGCCTGAGCTCTGCTTCTAGATGAGCAGGTAGTGATACGCACAGCGTTCATGATTGGATGTCAATTCTCGCAGCATCGGGGATGCGGTACGATCTGGCGTATCAAATCATTCTGGCCCCATTCAAGTGGCCTGGCTCTATATCTGCATCGGTTCCCCCCGCAGTCCTCGACGTAGTTCTCGCTCAGCAGGGTATAAATCTCGTGAGCTTCGGCGTCGTCGTCGACCTGGGCATCCACACCACCCGAATCTTCCTCCCTCGCGAAGTGCTTTCATCCACTTGAGAGTACGATTCTAGTCTGCGCAGGCAGCCGTTCGTAAGATTTGAACGTTGGCACGGACGCCAATCCTTCGAGCGGCCTCCGCAGGCTGCTTGAGGGTAACCGATGGGCATTGGCACGTCTGCGGCGCGACGCGGCAAATTATGGGACATGATGGAGACGGTCAACGAATGCTCAACCTTAAGTACGCGGCATCCTGCACGACCACTTCACCTGCCCCTGACAAGGTCGGGAGAGCACACGGCGTCTGTCTGTACATCAATATTACACTGCGAGACACAGCCGTCTGTTTAGGGGGTGATAGGCTAAGGCTTTTGCTACGGGAGCTCTCGAGGCTAACTGGGATCTCGCTTGGTTTAGCGAGACGCGCGCAGAATATGATGGTATCGATCTCGACGAAGGCCATCGCTCCATAGCCGCAGCAGGCCCGACCAGACACGCTGGAGTGGCTGATTGGTTGCATGCTCGGGGCACTGGGGAGGTGTCACAGCTACGCGTTCGCGTGATGGTCGAGTGCTACCAGTTGATGTTCATGTGAATGGCAGTACTTGCACGTCCCTCTCCAGATATACATGCCACACGCGGGATACCCGCACGACGTTTCAATCAGTTGTTACACGCTTGTACTACAGAAGGCGGACTTTGCTAGGAGGCTCTCCCCTCCCCCTCCTCCTCCTCTGTACCTCATCCCCTTCTTGTCCACCCCTTCCTCCTTTCTGATCATAACGCGGGTCTCTGGCGGCCGTTCGGGACGATCCTGGCACCCCTGCAAGGCTCTTCGCGAGGCGCAGCTGCTGGAGAGCATCCCGGGGCTGGAAAGCCAGCGAGAACCATCAGAAACGCCTGAAAACTTCTCACCTCGACCCCCTGATCTGGGCGGCCCCCTGGGCGACGTCGCACGTGCACCACTCGAACTGCGCCGGGAGCGCGTACGGCTCGTCCTCTGCGGGGGGGGGACGGATTGCGCTTCTCAACGTCAGGAGCCCGATGCAGTGAGTGAGTGAGTGACGAGGGGGACCGAGAAGGAGAAGGCAGGCGGAGGGAGGAGGAGGGAGGGAGGGAGGGAGAAGGGGAAGGGCGGCAAGGAAGCAGGAGAGAAGAGAGAGAGAGAGAGAGGACGAGGAGGAGGAGGAGGAGGAGGAGCTCACAGTCGAGCGAGCTCAGTCGAGAAATTCGAGCTCGGCAGCGGCGGCTTCGGTACTCACCAGTGCAACCGGGACCTCTGGTTCGGCAGCGTCGCGGACCACGGGGGCGGGCACGGGAGCGACGAGTTCGGCTACTCCTAGCTCTGGGTCCCTTTGGGCCGGCATTGGGCGGCAGCTAGGTGGCCGGAGGTTGGCAGCAAACCGGCAGTGCAACACCCGTTGAAGCTCCCCTACTGTGCATGCTGGCCGCCGTGCGCGGGGGGCGCCGCCGCGGGCGACCCCCCCGCGGGGCCGCTGTTGTCGCTGCCGATGGTGACGCTGCCGCCGTTGGTGGAGGAACTGCTGCAGCCCCAGCCCCGGAATCGAATTCCGCACGTGCCGGCGCGGCTCTGCCGGAACGCGCTGCGCCGCGGCCCCGGCGGCAGGGGGGCCAGGTTGGCCTGCGGGAATTCGGGTCTGGCGTCTCCCAGGACATCTCCGGGAACATGATCGAGACCGTCGGCTTCGCCGACTCGCCGTGGTAACGCAGTTTTGCGGCGGTCGGGACCGTCGGCTTCGAGCCAAGATATCGTTTTCCTTGGAGTGAATGCGAACTCGTGGGGCAGCTTCGAGGGCGTGTATGACTGGCTGTGCGACGGTAGTCTTACGATGCTGGCTGAGGCGTCCGGGACTGCGGTACCTTTCCCGCAGAGACTGGCCGTGTAGGAGACCAGGATAAAGCTCGCCCGCGTCGAGGAGCAGGCGTTGTCTTGGGCCAAGGGACACAGCAGCAGCATGTCTTTGGGCAGGGGAGGAGTCGGTCTAGGAGTGCAGCCTCCCATTGCGTCGACGCCTATGCACTTGCCTGAAGACCTTCAGCAGTTCGGTCACCGAGTAGTCATTCGGAAGGCGAATCTAGGGCTCCAGTCTGTAATCCTGTTCTTTTCCCTGTACCTGCTCGTCGGTGAGGGCCATATGGGGGCCACGAATTGGGACATGCTGTCCAAGCTAGCCGTGTTTTTGTTATCTCAGAGTGCGCCTTGGGTGATCCAGGGAGATTGGAATTACACGCTGGCTGAGCTAACGGATACAGGTTGGTTGAACACGCGCGTGGGCGCGATCTTCCAGCCAGAGGAGCCGACTTGTTTCACGCGCCACTTGGAGGAGGAGGAGGAGGAGGAGGAGGAGGGAAACTCCAAGTGGGTCCTGGTGGAGAGGGAACTCGACTTTTTTCTGAGGCGCCAAGGTGTTGCGACACTGTGTGCACTCGGTGGTTGCTTCAGTTCGGCCACGATGGTGCCTCGCATTCCTGTCGGCGTGCTCTTGAGGGGTCTGGGGGGTACAGTGAGCTACAGGAAGCCCAAGTCGTTCAAGATGTTTCCCGTCGTGCCTGGCATGGGCCCCCACAGGGACCCACCAAATGCCGATCGGCAGCAGGCCCAGACGAGCCCCCCGTGGACCTTCCGCAGGCGATCCTTGAGTGGTTCAGCAACGCCGAGGGGTGGCTCGGCGTCTACCACGACATCCCCCCCGACGAGAGCGTCTCGTACATGGGCCGGGCACTGGGCCCGCAGTCCTCCAGGGTGCCATTGCAGACCCTCTGGAATCGGGAATCCAGACGGCGATTCAGTCGCGGGACCGTGGCGTGGCTGCCGTGCTGGAGCTCAGCAGGGCGGGCTGCAGCTCTTGGGAGGGATCTCGGGGCCCGAAGGCGAGGTACCCGAGCTAGGTGGATTAGCACAATGCTCCGCATGTTGAGTACGATGCACATCAAGAAGTCACCAGAAGCCCCGCAGTCCATGCAGAGCGTCGAGCGCCCGTCTGAAGCAGTGCTACGCGGCTTGTTCACGCGCGTCGGCGACGGCACGGCCGACCTGAGCGACGCTGCTTGAAGTAAGTTCTACGAGTACTCCACGTTCCTGCAACGTGCGGACGCGCAGGAGGGGGCGAGGAAGCGATGATGAAAGGGGGGAAGGCGGCGCACGCTTATGCACAGAAGAAGCCCTCCGTTCCCACCCGCCTGGAGCAGGAGCCTGGAGGGCTCCCCATCAACTGTGACCAGGCCATCGCCTCCCTCCTGGACGAATGGATGCCCATGTGGGCCCCGAAGAGCCGCGCCCCCGTCGACCCTCGTCTATGGGACATCGGAGGTTGCGCCCTGCCCCCGCTCTCCTCGGAGGTCTTGCAGGAAGCGTGCCGTCCGTATTCAGAAAACGCTGTTTTAGGATGGGACCACCTCCACCCGCGGTGGGTCCTCCAGCTCCTGGGCGAGTACCAGGTCAGGATCCTACGTATTCGTCACACGTTCGACGACGACCCGTCCTGGGTCTTAGAGCTGGTGACTAGCATCGTCTTCGCATCGAAGCCTGAAGGCGGGGCCCGACCGATTGGATTGCTCTGTCTCTTTATGAAGCTTCGGAGTAAGCATAGACAGCCAGTGTGCCAAGAGTGGGAGCGAGCTCACAACATGGAGTTGTTCTGGGGGAGTGGACCCAACACGACGTGCGAGAAAGCAGGCTGGACAAGCAATCTTCTTGCAGCGTTTTGTCGTTCCCTCGGAACGGATAGCGCAACTGCGCTTTTCGAAACGAGGAAATTCTACGAGCACGCGGGGCTTTCGCACTTGTTCGCAGCGGCCCGACAGTTCGACTTCAATTTGAAGCTTACGAGGGGTCTTGTTACGATCTGTTCGGGATTTGAACTGTCTGAGACTGGTCGAGAGGGGGAAAGCTTGCCCATCTCCCGACTCTGAAAGATCTGAACTAGCTCTTAGAAGGGCCTCCTTCGAGGCTCTACGGGAACGAGACTTGAGAGAATGATTTAAGGAGCGCTCCGACAGGTGACCTTCCTCGTCTATAAGAATCATGGTTCCCTTGGACAACAGATCGGTCAGAGCCAAGTTGCCACGCGCTGGATCCGCCTTCGCAAGCGCGTCAGCAGCCATTCGACCGCGTGGAACCCATCTGACTTGAGAACCTACAGCGCTCATACTGTCTCGCACGACTGCTAGCTCGATACTGTTCCTTCGGTCGGCCCTCGACCCGGCCGAATTCGAAAGAGTGTCGAAAATGGATTTCGCGTCAACCACGGAGAGAGTCTCCACTCCTTCCGAGAGAGTGCAATCACGGCTCAAAACAACGGAGAAAGGAAACTGCGACAGATGCCAGTCTGGGCGACTGACGTCGCCGAACACAAGGTCCCTCCACAGGATGGACAGCCACTGGGCCTCGGCGAGGGCGGCAGAGATCGACAGTGTCTCTGCAGCTCCGGTACACGCAACCACCCTTTTTAATCTCGTCGATCTCCAGCTCAAAAGGGAAACACGAGACCTTCTGTTCTGCCTTATGGCCGGATCAGCCGCTAGGACCAACCACCCTCCCTGGGCCCCGTTTCTTCGAGCGGACCCCAGGCCCCCCGCGTCGGAAACAATCACGAAGCTCATGATGCTCGGGTCCAGGGGCCACAAAACTATCTTCTGACTGGCGGTTCCCTTGAGATGCTTGACTATCTTGATACACAACATTGCGTCACTGACCGTGGGCGACGGGAGGGCGGCACTCTGAATGGAGGCTCCTGCCGACACGTCCGGCCTGGATTCCCGACCTAGCCACTGAATCTGGGCCACCATCGTTCTGCACAGCTTGACCTCCTCCGGGGTCAACGGCGCCTCGGGGCCCGAGCGCCTCCCCTTAGCTAACCGCAAGGGGGCAAGTTGTTCTAAGATGTATTTCTCTTGGTCTATGAAGATTTTCTGGCCCACTTGTTTCGCGTGTCTCCCAGCGAAATCGGCCTCCCCGGTCTCCCATTTGCCGAACCTGAACCTCCCTTGGAGCCTATCCTTCAGCCCCTGGCGCTCCGCAGGGGCACTCGCCACTATGAGGTCGCCCACCTCAATGAGTATCAAGGAACGAATCTCCCCTTGAGACGACCTCTTAACCCACAGGCAGGGTTCTAAAAGGGACTTGCTGAAACCGTCTTCTGAGAGCCATTGCGCGAGGGTCCGGTGCCAGAGGAGAGGTGCATCTTTCAGGCCGTACACTGGCGCAATGAGCTCGATGAGCCCACCTGGCCCGAAATTCAGTCCTTGGCACGGCTCGCAAAAGATCGACCCCTTGGGACGATGAAGTCGGTCGGACTGACAGAACGCGTTCTTACAGTCAGCGATCTCGAGCTCCCAACCGAGCGAACTGATCGCTTGGAGGGTGACCATAGTACTCTCTGCTTGGGGGGTCGGGGCATAGACGTGTAACTCCTCATTGTCCGGATCGTGGTGCCCCTGGACACACCATCGTGATTTCGCGAGAGCCCCTGAGCCCACCCCCTCGAGGCTTGAACCTCCTAACCATCCTAGACCCCAGAATTCTGTCAGGAAATCTTCCCCTAACTACAGCTGCCTCGGCCGCCTTCAAAATTCGCACCGCCCTGGACTCGAGAATTTCCCCCCACCCCTTGGCGTCGGAAAAGGAAAACAGGAGCCTTTCCTCGGGGAAAGACTCTTCAGTGAAACTTCGGCGCCGCGCCTTGACGGAGGATCCCCACCCTTTCCCTTGCCCTTGGAAGTGGCGAAAGTCTCCAGAGACTCGGAACACCAGAAATCAAAAAAACTAAAGTGGAACCAGGAGCAGAGTTCTCCCCAGAGATCCTCCTCCTCCTGGTCCTCCTCCCCCGTGCCCGCAGTATTAGGCCCCCCCAGAGGCTCTGATGTCTCTCCTCGGAGATCGAGACCCCTCTCGCGCGGCAGAAGAAGGTTCCGGCAGCTGGCGAGCTTCGTCCTCACGAAGTGGGCCTAAGCTGCTGGCACTCGGAGTCTGACGACTCCTTCTAATACACATAGGCACATCGCCCAGAAGACTATTTCGTAAAACAGAGCTTTCCCGTTCCTGGACGGCTTCCCTGACTCGGCCCGGACCCTGGATTCGGTCTTCGATCGGCGTCAGACGAGGTCTCTGAGATGGAGGTGGCTCGGTGGGATCTCGTCGCCCGGCTGGATTCACCTCGTCAACCTCTGAGGCCTCATCGTTCCCTGGGCGGCCCCTGACCTCGGGCATCCCCCTGGGAGATTCTGCCCCGATGCTCCGAGACCGACTTTCGGCTGAGATGGTCACTGGGCGCGCCGTCGACGCTTGATCGTCTCCGATCGGGCCCGCTGCCGCGGCAGGCCCCTGGGCCTGCGGAGGCTCGGCCGGCGGAGGCACGGGAACCACTGGGACTGGAGCGTCCTGAGACTCGGGCCCCTCGAGACCCCAAGCCTCCGGGGGCGGCGGACCTTCGGCCTCAACGCCCACTGCTCCGACTCGTCTTCCTGGAGCCTGAAGCTCCTGACGTAGTCGAGCGAAGGAAGGTGAGTCCAGAAGTTCAGCTCCCCAGGATTCGTCCTCAGTGGCCCATCTAATCTGTTCTTGGCCACACACTTCAGCAGGCGCGATCTCATCGCTCCTGGGCCGGCCCAGCGGGAACGCTTGGTCCGGGGGCCCTTTTCCCTGTCCTGAGACGTTCCTCCCTTTCTCCAAACGTACACCCAGGCTCCTGGAGGGACAGTCTTGTCAACGTGCTTTCGGGCCTTGCTGGCCGCTAGCAGGCGGTCCCGGGCGCCCATAACCATGACGGCCTTCTCGGCCTCCTCCCTGAGGGCGCGCTTTCGAGCGAAGGCGGTGGCAGGGGAGTTGGAGTCCGTTGATCCTCGAATCACGTCTCCGACCCCAACTTCGTCGTGAGCTTCATCGGACAAGAGGGATCGGGGAAGACGAGGATTCTCGCCGAATACCATCTGATAGGGGGAGAAGCCGCCCCTGTGAGAGTACCTATTCTTTGCTGAGACTACCTCACAGAGGAGTTCTTCTACCTCCTCGAGGTTGGTGGGCTCCGCCCCACCGGCAGCTCGAACAAGCGCGCTCTTGGCTAACCCCCATGACGCTCACACCTCCCATTCTGCCAAGGAGACTCGGCGTCACAAACGTGCCGATAAGCCCCAAGATGTTCTAAACCCCTGGAAAGAGATCCTTCGAACTCTTGCCCCCCATCCGTCATAACTGTCTCTGGTACCCCGTAAGGTCTCACCCAGAACTTGAGGAAGGCGTTCCAAACCTCAGCTGGCGTGGCGGCTCGCAGCAAGGTGCAAACCTGGAGATTCGATCCGTGATCGATCAGGTTCAGCACTGGATGAGTCGAATTTAGCACTTGTATGTAAAAGAGATCGGCAGCAACAAGCTTATTGAAACTATATGTTCGGGCAAGTGAGCTCTACGCCTCCAACCTGGACGGGATCCTGAGTCACACGTGGGGCACTTAAAACATGTCAGGATCCATTGGATGACTTCTTTCTTGGCTTTGCCGACCTTCAGGGTCCTGACGAAATGATCCCTTCGAGGGTGTCCGAGATTCACGTGAAGCTTGTGAATTTCTTCCTGGAGCTCCCTGGAGAGCTCTAGAGTCTTCGAATGTCCCGGGGGATTTGGGCAGCTCCTGGTTTCCTGCTCATCTTCGGACTCAGAGTCCTCGACCTCGGCTGGTTCGTTGGGTAGGTCGTCTCCCGCCGCTGGAAACGATCCCTCAGCGGTCTCACTGAAGATCACCTGCTCGACGCCCTGCGCAAGAGCGTTCACCAGCGCAGGTGGAAACCGTTCAGCCGCCGACGTCCCGGCGCCGCCAATAAGAACAGAATGCACATGACTTCCCTCACACCTGCGTGCACACTTGTCCAGAATTTCCTTGGAGTTGGATATAAATCGAGTAGGTTTCAACGCTGGCCCCCCGTCGAGAGTCTTCAAACCAAAAGCGCATTGATCAGCTCGGACCTCGAGAACCCCGGACTGTTCCAGCAAGATCTCTGTGGACCTCAGCTGCCTTGAAGAAGCCCCGAAAGGGTTTTCGATGAGAAACTTCCTTCCGTGAGCAATCTGATGCATCGCGACCTTCACCGCCAGACCCCAGAAGAAAATGCTTTCTTGCTCAATTCGGTCTCTCTCATCTGGATCCATCTTGCCCCAGTTAGGGACTCTAGCGACTGACACTCCGCGGCAGGGCGGAGTCATCAGGATGACCTCGGGGCGATCTGACCGAATCATTTCCCACGTGTTTGTCCTTTTCCGGGCTCGGCGAAGGCCCCAACCCGTTCAAATCCACGGCTCTCGATACGGGAAAGCCCCTGCGAGATATCTCTGAGGTGACCCTGGGGGGAGAGAACAGCTCTAGAAGCACCGTCCTCTTCTTCTGGACCATCCCCTGGATGGCTTTGTGCCTCAGTTGCTTCCTTGAGGCGCGAACCCACCTTCCCACTAGATCCGAGGGCGTCTTCTCGCACCCTACGAGGTACCGCTACGGGGGGCTGAGCCAGAGACCTTCTAAGGGTCGGACGTCGGTCCAGTATGGACCAGCTCTGGGGCATACTAGCCGGGCCACCAGCCGAGGCCCAGACAGAGATGATCAGCTCGGACTGCTTGTAGCCCTCGAGGTTGGAGGCAATCTCGGACGCCGAGGCCCCTACCCAAAGAATGTCGGTGACGGCGGTGATCTTCGTGGGGGTCTTAGTAGCTCCCCTTAGTCTCTTGACCCCTGACCCCTCAAAGATGTTCGACTTTTCTCCTCTGGCCCTGAGGGCAAGATAGATCAGAAAATTTTGGGCCTCGGATCCCTCCAGTCGCTTTTCTTCCCAAAGACCCCTCTCGGCCACCTCTCCCAGAGAAACCGACCTGCCGGTCTCGGTGTCCCAGAGCCAGGTTCCCAAGAATTCCGACCATCTTTGCATGTCCACCTTGGAGTTCCTTCGATCGGTGATCCTGAAGCTTTTTGCGGCCCAGTCCCCGGTGTCGGTCCCTGGGGGAAGCAGGCCTCTGAGGTTCCCCTGGATCCCTGGGTCAAAACCGGAAACTTCTCGGACGGTGGTGGGGGAAACGGAAGGATGATGATGATCAGGATTTGGGCTGCAGGAGCCAGGAGCAGATGACGCATCTGCCTTGGTTATGTAGTTCGTCGAGACACCCTCGACGGAGGATACGTAGTTGCCCTCGACCACCGAGAGCCTGGACTCGCCTAGCGCTCGTCGTCGCTCTCGATCTTCATCGCCTCGGGGGCTGGCCCCGCGCTGCTTGCCGCCCCGGTCAGGCGGGAGCTGATCATCGTCATGAGGTCCCTGAACTGGGCGCGTGTCTCGTCCGTCTGCTGGCGCTGCTCCATCATCCACTGGGTAAGCTCTGCCCGATTGCTCTCCTGGTTCTTGAGAAGCTCGGTGAACTCCGCGCTGCGGCCGTTCGCCTCGACCCTGCGGGCTGGAGGACTCTTGACAGCGGCGGGGCCGAAACCCGCAGGCGGCGCCTTCACGATGCCCGGTGGGGGCTTCACTGGGATCCCCTCGCAAATCGGCCCCATCCTGGTCTTGAGTGGCGTCGCTTGCCCTGGGCAGCTGCTCGACGAAGACCCTGGGCTGCGTGGCGGCCTCCGCACTGGTACCTTCTCCGCCTGCTGGTAGTCCCCGTTCCTGACGGTGATGCCCATCTTCCCCTCCATCTGCTCGGTCTCCTTGCGCACCCACTCCTGCTTGATGACTTCGCGCTTCGTCTCCCTCTCGATCTTCATCTTGATCTTCTCCTCGGCGGTGTATCGGACCGTCTCGAGTCGACCACCGCGCTTCTTGCACTTCACCCACCTCGCATACTGCTTCGAGCGGCACTCTCCCGCTTCCAAGGGATGCTCGCAGTCCTCCTCGCTGATCTCCCGGCAAGCGCCCAGCTTCAAGCGAGGAGCCAAACTCGCAATCAGCCTGGACTCCGCACAAGACCTGAGAAGCACCAGTAGAGTTAGTGCCCACCTCCTCCAGCGATGAGCTGGTGGAGCTAGCAGGTAGCCCCCCTCGTTCAGCAGGTTCTTCTCGACCTCCGACAACTCGCAGTCCTCGTAGCTCATCTGCTGCAGCTCGGAGTCCTGCCAGGGATCTGGCGGGAAGTCCCAGTTCGCCTCGATCTCCGAGTCCTCCTCGTCGACCGGCTCGAGATCCGAGGATGCGAGGTGCGTGGCCGCCAGTCGAGCATGACGGCGCGTCTTGGACAAGATCCCGGACACGCGGCGCTTCTGCATCGCAGATTTGGGAGTCGTTCTCATCACCCTTGGGCAACTGAGAGCTGGAAGCTTGAGTGAGAGAAACGGCTACGGAAGGGGGGATGCAATTCAATTTGTCTTGTCAGATGCCAAAGAATTCCCACTGACCCGAGACTCCCGAGACGAAAAGTGAGAACTGTCTGACTGAAGCAACTGAACGCC